CTGAACGCAAAGGCCCCTTCACTAATCAGAAGCTTGGAAGTTTGAAAGTCCTCCTGATCTGGAAGGAAATACACCCCACCCCGAGACTGCGGAGAAGCGGGGCCAGTAACACTCTCAAGAGACCAGGAGCAGAGAAGTGAGGTATTTGAGAAGCCCGCACCGCTCTATCCACTGGAATGTTAAGGGGTGGGGAATGGGGAGGGGGGATTCTAAAGTGGTTTGGAAGTGATCTGGAGTAACCTAAACTGTTAGTCGGGATGTCGCGAGGGGAGAAGAAGTGGGAGTCAGACCTCCGAGCAGCTGGAGTGGGCGGCCACGATTGCGAGGCAGGGGAGGACGGAGGTGACGTGGGTCAAGGCTCCCTAGGGGTGACTCGGAGCATGAAGAACGTTTTGAAGTGACTCAAAAGTTCTAGAAAGTGAACGCAAGAGGTGTTCCCGAGTAAATTCTGGGGACTCACTGACACCCAGGCGGCTGGGGCTGGGGGCCGCGACCAATACTCACAGAGCGGATCTCCAGCGCCAGGGCGCACTGCAGCGCCTTCACCTTAGGCATCCGCGCGGGGTGGGACGCCGGGTAAGACCCCGGCCGCAGGCCCGAGTGAAGCGAGTGGACGCGGGGCGGGAACGGGAAGGAGATGAGGTGGCGGCGGCGGTGGAAGTGGCAATTGTAGCCCCCAGGCCGGGGCCCGCGGTCCAGCCTGGGACCCGCCCGAGCAGCAGCTGTGCGCAGGGAGCTGGCTCGTTGTCATGGCAGCCCAGAGGGGCGGGGCCGGAAGAGAGGCGCGGTGGGACGCGCTGGAGCCTCCGCGCGACTGGGAGGCTGGGGGCGGGGCCAGGCGAACGCGGGGGCGGGTCTTCCTAAAGGGAGGGGGCTGGCCGGGCCGTTCTGTGACGTCAAACTATGGAACCAAAGCCAGACAAAGGAGAAAACAGCAGTTTGTATAAAGAAACAGTACACAGGTCAGTTATTTGGACTCAGTGTCCCAGAATTCCAACGTGGCAATGGCACCCTGGGCTAATTGCGTCCTACTGTGGCCTCAGTTTCCCCAACTGTACAAAATATTATTATTATTAGTTCTCTATTTGATGCAGTTTAAAAAGCCAGCAAGAGAAAACAGGACTGGAGAAGAGACTTACCCAAGTAAAGGCAACTAGGACTGGATTAAAGTAAAACCCCAGTTGCCTTCCTTAGAATGGCAGCTTAAATAAAATCACTCTACTCTTCCTAAAGGACTTAGTTTCCTACTCTATGATACTTTCTGTGTCCCTATACCCCCCTCTCACTGCAAGATTTCCTGTCTAATTCACTGTGTATGCAACTCAACAACACATCACTTAAATTGAACTGCCAATGAAGGGCCAACCATTAACCCAGTCAGGAAGGGCCTGGGCCATAGACCATCAAAGATGAGAAGAATCCAAGTGATTCTCACTCCAGTTGCTTGAAAAATCATTTCTGGTGTGAAATACATTATGCATATAGAATGTATAAAACATGTTCATCTTAAACAATAACAATAAAGAAGCAAGTATCTATGCAACTAACACCCATGTTAAGAAGCAGAACATTACTAGCAGAACATTACCTTGGAAATGCACCCACCATCGTATTGCCTCTCTTGCCCTGGAAGTAACCACTACTGTGACTTTGTTACAATGATTCCCTTGCTTTTCTAAAGACAGTCTCCTCAATAAATGGTACTGGTAAAACTGGAGAGCTACATGTAAAAGAACTAAAGTGGGTCATTGTCTTAGACTATACCCAAAAATAAACTCAAAATGGATTAAAGACCTAAATCTGAAACCACAAAGCTCCTAGAAGAAAACATAGGCAGTGCACTCTTGAACACCAGCATTAATAATTTTTTTCTAGATACATGTCCCCAGGCAAGGGAAACAAAAGCAAAAATAAAGAAGTGGGACTATGGGACTACATGAAACTAAAAATCTTCTACACAGCAAAGGAAACCATCAAGAAAACAAAAAGACAGCCTACTGTATGGGGACTGTATTTGCAAATGATACATCTTATAAAGGTCTAACATCCAAAATGTATGAAGAACTCATATTACTCAACACCAAAAACACAATCAGATTAAAAAATGGACAAAGGACCTGAATAGACATTTTTCCAAAGAAGATGTATAGATGACCAAAAAACACATGAAATTCAAATCAGGGAAATTCAAATCAAAACCATAGAGATATCACCTCACACCAGTCAGAATGGCTAATACCAGCAAGACAAGAAAAAACAAATGTTGACAAGGATGTGGCGCAAAAGGAACCCTCATACACTGCTGATGGAATTGCAAATTGGTGCAGCTGCTATAGAAAGCAGTATGGAGGTTTCTCAAAAAACTAAAAATAGAAATACCCTATGATCCAGCAATTCCACCTCTGGGAATTTACCCAAAAATCACGAAATCACTAATCCAAAAAGATAAATGCTCTCCTATAGATGTTGCACCATTAATATAATACCCAGAATATGTAAATAACCTAAATGTCTATTGATAGATGAGTGGATAAAGATATGTTACATATATACATTGGAATATCACACAACCATAAAAAAGAATGAAATCTTGCCATTTGCAACATGATGGACCTAGAGGATATTATGCTAAATGAAATAAGTCAAAGAAAGACAAATACAATATAATTTCACTTATATGTGGACTCTAAAAAACAAAACAAATAAACAAAACTGAAACAGACTAATAGTCACAGAGAACAAACATGGTCACCATGGAGGAGAGGGGTTGGGAGATGAGTGAAATAGGTGAAGGGGGGGGAATTTATTGAGAATGTTTGCTATCTTGAGCTGGGTGATGGTAACATGGGTATATAGACATGTCAAAATTCATCAAGCTATATACTAAGATTTGTGCATTTTATTGTATGTAGCTCAATATTAAAAAATTAAAAAACAGCTGTGGTTATTTTCCTTCCTATGGTCAGGGGACATTTGTTGACTGGATAAACTCTCATCTTCACAGATTTTGATGGAAGTTTAATTCCACTATCAGCTTAGTGTCCTTGGTCTCTAAATATCTGTTTCCAATAAGAAAGCCAGACCCTGTGTACACACTAAGTCCAAGGGACTTTTCTTGGCATGGACTGATCTCTGCCCTTCCCAGCTGCCCTAGGCAGAACTGTGGAGGAGATGAGGTTGGCCCTATGAGGTCCCCACATCTTCCTCTCCCACCTGGCATTCATTACTCTTTGATGGTTAGGTTCACCCAACTCTGACCCAGATATGGGCTTTGTCTAAATCCTTCCCAAGTCTCTTTAACTCATGGAACAACTCAGCCTCCTCCCTTTTCTCAAAGCACTGTTCTTATGGGCCACTGTGATGAGCAACCTAAAAACAAAAACAAAAAAACAATTCCCTTGCTTTTTGAAATAATTTTACTAACTATTCATGTATGCATTTCTAAACAAGATATTAATTTTTTCTGTTACTGATGTTATATAATGAAATCAATATTATTTATATTTTTCTATGACTTGCTTCTCTAGTATGTTGTGGGAGTCACACAATAATGTTTCCATTGTTGAATGGTGCTCCAATATATGAGTACTGTATATATTCATTTATTTACTCTTTCTCCTATTGATGGACAGTTGCACCGTTTTCGTTTTTAGCTATTATTAACAATGTTGTTTTGAACTAGTGTACCAGTGTCTCCTGGTGTACATGTGCTAGAGTAGGAGTGGATCGACTGGGTATTAGCATTTGCATGTGTGGGACTTGTATAGATAATGCCACACCATTTTCCAAAGTAGTTGCCCCTACTCCCAGTTCCTGCTGGGAGAGTATAAGAGTTCTTATTTTCCTACAGCCTCATCAACATTTGGTATTGTCTGGATTTTTAATTTTTGTATATTTGGGTAAGTGTAGTCTGAGTAACTCATTGTGGATTTATTTTGCATCTCTTACTATTACTGAACGTGAGCACCTTTATATGGTTTTATTCATATTTCCATTTTCTGTGAACTGCCTAGTAGTTCTCTTGACCATTTTCCTATTAGATTGTTTCTTTCTCTTTCCATCTCACTAGTTAAAGGAGTTCTTCATATGTTCTAGATACGAATTCCTTGTCTATTATATGTATGTGCAAATATCTTCCCCAGTTTGTGCTTGAGTCTTTTAATTTTCCATATAGTGTGTGATGAATGAAAGAGAAATTAAGTCAGAGTATGACCAGATCCCAAGTTGCTGTCTGGAATGCCACACCAGTCTACATGCCTACCACCAATGCTTGAAGATTACTATGCCCCACATTCTTCCCTGCTTTGGCATTATCAAGCTGTTTTGTTTTCTCCAGGATAATAGATGGAAAGTACCATATCATACTGAATTTCTCAGATTACTGATCAGTCTGAGCATACATTTATATGTTTATAAGACTTTCTTCTTTTTTTCCTATAAATTGCATATATTCTTTGCCCAATTTTTTGTCTTTCTTACAGGAGTTCTTGTATACTCTAGTTATCAATCTCTTGTCAGTTTTAGACATTGCAAATATCTTCTCTCTTTTTCATCTGTGGTAAACTTTGCCCAGGGTGTACTTCTGTTAATAGAAATACCTAACATTGATGTAAATCAATTAGTCATTTTTGCCTATATTTTGTATTTGTGTTTCTTATGTTTTAAGAAGTTTTCTACATTCCTAGGTGACAGAAATATTTTCTGTATTTCCTTCTTTCAACTTCATAATTTTACCTTGCACATTTTGATGTTCAGTCCACCAAGACTCAATCTTTGTTCAGATGTTCAATGGGATACAGGATCATTTTTAATTTTTTTTCCTATGCAGACTGAGTTACATTTCCCAAGAATATCTACTAAATATTCTTTCTTTCCCTTCACTGATTTGTGGCACCACCTGGATCATACATTAACTACCTAAATTTCTGTCATCGCTTTCTGTTCTGTTATCTTTGTTCATGCAAAAGTATCACAATGCTTTATTACTATGATTTCTTAATATCCTGTTTGGCAAGCTTCTTTTTTTATTTATGAATTGGTTTAGCTATTTGTGATCTTTTTATGGCTTCTTTTATTTTAGAGTAAGTTTATCAAGTTCCTCAAACAGTCCAACTGGAATTTTTACTGTGATACATTAAACTTACAGGCTCCTTTGGCAAACCTATGTTTTTGGAATACTGCATCATCCCATGCAAGAACATGAAATATTTCTCCATTATATTAGCTCATCTATGTCCTTTACTAAAGTTTTCAAGTTTTCTGCATAAAGTCTCTACTTAATTCCTAGGTGTTTAATTATAATTTTTTTGTACTATTGAGAATAGTTTCTTTTTAAAATTATGTTTACTAGTTATTGCACCCATAGAGAAAAAAAATTATTTTTATAGGTTGATCTGGTAAATCTGTTCAACTCTTACTAATTGAAATAGTTCTCTATTTGTTCCATTGTTATCGTTGATATTTTTCTCATAGAGATGGTAGGCACTAAATTGCTTTTCTATTGCCGCCATAGCAAATTCCCACAAGCTTGGAGGCTTAAAACAACACAAATTTAATATCTTATAGTTCAGTAGATACGTAAGAGTCCAATACAGGTTTTTCTGGGATAAAATTAAGGAGTCAGATGCGTTTCTTTCTAGAGGCTCTACAGGACCTGTTTCCTTGCCTTTCCAGCTTCCAGAGGTCACTAGCATTCCTTGACTCATAGTCCTCTGTCTTCAAAGCCAGCAATGGCGAGGCAACTCTTCCTCACACTGCATCACTC